ACAACTAATCTGTTTACAATACTTCTTAAATTAGATACATTATAGATAGCTTTGACACATTCATATAACTTTATAATTCCAGGATGAGCAAAAAACTCATGAAAATATCTTACCACTTCTAATTTGAAGTGTTCTGGTACAACAATTCTACTATTTTTATCCACTATTACATTTTCTTTAACTATGTATACACCATCTGTAATATTCTTTTTAATAACATCATCTTTCTCTTGTTCAATCTTATTAATCTTTGGAAAACTATTAATAATCCTCTCTTTGATTGCTTTAACATGTATTCTACTTAGAAAGTCAGCACCTTGATTATTTTTTCCTGATACGTGTTTAATATTTAGGTTATATTCTTCTAAAATTAGCTTCCATCTCTGAATACGTTTTGTATCAGAGTTTCCTAAATAGGTAATGTTCTTGTTATCTGTATACAGGTTAACTTTATAACCTAGTATCATATTTCTAAATTCTTCTAATGATAAAATAATTGCTAGTAGCTCCTTTTCCATAATAGTATAATTTCGTTGATAATGATTTAACTTCTTACTAAAAATTTTTACTATCCCATTTTTCTGATAAACGACACCTCCTACTGCTAAATCACTTGCATCTGTAAACAGATGAAATTCTTCTTTGTAGTTTGGAAAATAGACCTTGTTATTTGCTAATTCTTTAAAAATTTCTTTGATTATTTTAGAATCTTTTTCGCCCCAATAAAACTTAGTTGAAGTAGAAAGCTTATCTGTAATTGGTAAAAGTTTCTTACTCATATTCACTATAAAGGATCTGTAGAAATTAAGAAACCCAACTAATCGCATAACGTCTTTCTTATTCTTAACATTTACTAATTTGTTAATCTTTTCTAATTCTACATTATCAGGCTTGATACCCTTACAATCGATTATCAAACCAAGATACTTTACCTTATCGACACAGAAGACTGATTTGTCAAAATTAATACTAAGATTATTCTTCTGCATAATATCAAATACTGTCTTCAGATGTTTGATATGTTCATCATAAGTTTTACTAAATATGAGCACATCATCAATGAATATTCTTACAAAGTCTATACCATTAAACATTGACTGAATAGCATTGACAAAAGCTCTAGGTGCATTTACAAGACCAAAAGGAACTCTTAAGTATTCAAATTGGCCATATATTGTTGTAAAACTAGTCTTATATGTATCACATGGATTTATCTTCATCTGGTGATAGCCATTCTTAAGGTCAATTGTAGAAAAGAATCTAGAACCTTGTAAACCTTCAAATTTAGATCTAACGTCTATGAATGGGTTAGGCATTTTTAAGGTAATGCTATTCAATCTTCTATAATCAACAACTAATCTTACACCACCTGTTTTCTTTGGAATGAGAAATACTGGTGAAGTATAATATGAACTACT